GCTGCTGCTGCTGCTGCTGCTTTCACTGGTATCCTCGCTGTTGCTGTCCTTGCTGGAGGTGGAGCTGCTGCTGCTGCTGCTGATACCACCTTGATTTTTGTCTTTCTCATTTTTCACTACAGGAGAGGCAGCGTCCTGATTTGACAGCTTGGTATCCTGGCCAGGCTTCTTTGGACGCCCCTGCTCTGGACTCTTCTGATCTTTCTGGCCTGGACTCTTCTGATCTTTGATATCAGCCTAAAACACAGTTGAAGGTTAAAATATTATTTCTTTTAAGTTGTTCTAAAGAATTCAGAGTTTCTTCGGAATTAACAGTTTCTTCCTTATAATATTCTACCACATAATTGCTGTGTTATTAATAGAGGGAAGGTGGAATTGGACAAAATTCATTTATCAAAATCCGTTTAGAAAGTGAACCTTTCACAAATGACTGAGATGGGCAGCTATAGAAATTGAGCAAATAAATTATAAATATGACAACTCTTGTTTCATACCTAGCTAACTTAAACCTTATAAAATGTGCTCTTCCTCCACGGGTTATACGTACCTCCTGTTGTTCTCCTTTCAGTTGTTCTTGGTCTTCATTTTCAGGTACCAGTTCTCTTCTCATCCTAATTTTTGCAGAGTCTAGGTTGACATCTACTAGGATCTTAGTCAAACCAGGATCTGCATGGATTATAATGCAGATACATATTTTAGAAAGTGATCAGCACGAACAATTGCAAGTATACAAACTAAACATTTCACCACATATTAATACCTGGTTGATACGAAAACTTCATTTCATGTTCACTGCACAACATATGTAACAATGAATTCTGGTAGGGTGTATATCCTTTTGTCTTGATGGTTTTTGCACAAAGGTTTATCGGGACCCAAGCTAGAGGCCAGCAACTGTCCCATCGCTCTTGAGGTTTCTGGCTACTTTGAGATTGTTGCTGAAATGAAGATAGACACATCAGAATTTGGCAATAATAACCTGCTAGTACACATATGTGAAGAAGAAGAAGAAGATTAAACTTGGGTGTTAAAGAAAATCCTAAGTCTCATAGATAATAAAAAGTTGAGGGGTCTTTATGGGCAATATGAGAGATTTAAAAAAAGGCAGCTCTGTGTCACTGGAGCTACCAAGCTAACAGAAGTTTAGGATAGAAAAAGTATGACAATTATACTTCTCTAAGAAACAGTTCTATAATAAGATGAATTTAGCATTTTAATTGGTTTTCTTTTTCAAAGTTCATATCATATCATTATACAGACACTCAATAGCTTGACAAATGTTCTTGTTCTCAGGTGGTTCTAAATAAATTGTTTAGCATTATGTTTAAATAAAGCATGTATTTGAACAAGTTGAAACTATAACAAAATCCTAGATACAAACAAAATTATGTTAAGATTTCTAAATAATGTTACAAAAATAAAAGTAGCCATTATTTAATATCAGACAGTTTAACTGTGCAATAGACCACCAAATATCAGTGTTGACACACAAAAAGAAACATATTTACTTTGACGTTGCCTTTGCCAGGTTCTTCATCCCACTCTTCAATTTCAACTGGTATGGGAAGAATTGCAGCTGTTTCCATAAAACTTCCGCACCTTACTACAGCCTGTGCTCTATGACTAGGTAGAAATTCAATGAGGAGAAATAGATAGTGTTCTAATATACTCCACAGTAAGTTAACATACTCTAAATTAACATGAACACAAACTCAACATCAAAGCATCCTGAGAATGAAATAGTATGATGAAATTTTCCTTGTTGAGATCCAGGAGTAGAGGGAAAGAAGAATAGAGGAAAAACAGTGGTTCATTTTATGGTACTAGGCCAGACAGTTAATAGCCTGAATCAAATGTTTATAAATATTATTATATATATTTATAATTTCTCATCAAACCTAGCAGAAAGAACATTGTTACAAAATAAAATGTTTGAGAAACTTAGCAAAAGAGCACACTACAGGTACCCAGCCATAATTCTTGGCTTAGACCAATTGGTTAGCTATCACTGAGGTATATGTATAATGTTTACAGTATACAGTAGATGAAAGTCCTATATAATGCATGACAAAAAGATATGAAACAAATTATAAAAGAGCTTCTTCTACCTTGAAATCAGTGTATTAGGCTGCTCCTGAAGATTATCAATTTCTACTTTAAATCTGTTTTGTGGCATGTCCAGCAAAAGATTCATTTTGAGTGCAGTATCTGAATGGATGTCACCAGAAATTTCTATTCCATTAGCAAAAGAGTCTGCCTTAACTTCCCAGCTCATCGATACCTGACCGTGGATGCTGATAGAAGAAGAGAAATTTTAGGATACGGTTTCAGATTACGGTAACAGAGGAAATTCTAATGTCAAGAAGATTGAAGACACCACCTCAAACTAAATGGATTTGAACAACATGAAAGAATGGTAAAGGTTTTGTTATTTAAGGCTTTTGAGACGTTCAGTTCCAAATGCCAAAACAGCTGGGCCAGTCTTAACTTCTGTACATTGATTTCATATGTCTATATGTCAGTGATAGAGGAGATCGTGGGGGTGGATAGAGGATATTCTGCTGCAGAATTCTGCTTACTTTATGGGGAAGGAAGATAGAAAGTAATGTTATTTTGCTTACCGAACATGGCTGTCGAGTTGTGCTTGTATTTTGGCTGCTCTGACATCGTTCTGAAATATTTCTGATTTTGCTACAAGAAACAAACATTATTTTAAAATGGTTCAAAAGTAGACCAACTTAAAGATCAGGGCCTCCTAGTAGTAATATTGTTTCACACAAACATTTCTATATTTTCATTGTTAATATAATTGATGATAGGGCAGGGCAGTGAGCCAAAAGAAAAATTGGGAAAAGATGGAAAGGTTACAAATGAAAGATGACATTGCCTGTAGTTAATAGAATAGAATAGAATAGAATAGAATAGAATTTTTTATTGGCCAAGTGTGATTAGATACATAAGGAATTTGTTCCCAGTGCGTAAGCTCTCAATGTACATACAATAGTGATAAGCAATGAAGTTATAGTCATAAGAAGATTGTTTTGTGAACAACAAAAAAAGAGTAAAGCAAGACTCCATGATAATATCCTACTTTGAAAACTTTTAAGCTAATAAATGATGTATCATAGAGAAAGAAATCTGAATTGTTGCCATTATAAAAAATAGTAATACAACTACATTTTAAGTAAGATGATATTATCAGGTTTTGAGTGACACGTGTTTATCAGAATCATACAGAAATCTCACTTGCTTCAGATTAATAACCTGCATTGGTAATATTTTTCAATTGTATTATTATTGGCCATTTCCCCCATCATATATGATTTACCCATGCTATTTTGAATTGCGGTGATTTCCATCCTTACCTTTCCAAGTTACATCTACTCCCCCAACAATATTAGCTGTTATTTGGAATGGGAGACCAGGAGCTGTAGGTAAAACTTGTCCCATATCTACAACGTGGTATTGGCTGAATTGAGTGTTGACCATTTTCAAAAAGATTTCCAAACATGTCATCCACACTTTGATCATAGCTGGTCTTAACCCTTCCACCTAAAACAGGGTGAAGAGACAAGGGGCTTTAAGCTGACTGAGATAACAATATGGATTTTATGGTGAAAATGTATTAGACATCTTTACCTTCCATTGTGGTTTCATTTCTTCAGAGGTTAAATATATAATATCGTTTCCTAGAAATTTGACTGATGTACCAATGAAGGGCTCTCTGACAGTTAATTCTTGGTATCCTGGAAGCTAAAGTCAAGCCAATGAGAGCAATTTAGTATTGAGTCAGTTCATGTAATTAAAGTTCAAGTAAATAAAAAGACAATGTAATGATTATTTGCATTTCCCCTTCAAACATTACACTTTACAGAAAGATATTTCCAGTTCTGACATACTATGATTCCACCAGTTTAATTTACAGGTAGTGCTTGACTTACAACCATTCATATAGAGGCTGTTCAAAGTTAAAACATTGCTAAAAAAAACACACAAAAAAAGAGTTACAATCAGGAGTTTTCATACTTGTAGCCATAGTAACATCCTAACAGTCACGTGATCTAGATTTGAGTGCTTGGCAACAAACTTGTATTTATGACATCCCAGAGTTATGTGATTGCTACTTGTGGCCTTCCCAACTGGCTTTTCACAAGAAAGTCAGCAGGGGAAACTGGACTTGCTTTATGACCACTGGGTTCACTCGACAACTACAGTGTTAAACTACATTTAACAACCCAACCAAAAAGGTCATAAAATTGGGCATAACTCACATAACAACTGTCCTCTTTAACAACAGGAATTCTTGTCTCCATTGTGGTTGTAAGTTAAGAACAACCTGTATTTAGATTTTACCCCACAAATAAGGTTAACATTATCTTAAATTACAATATTAATCTGTGAAGAATTTTGTGACCAGACGCAAGATTTTAGCAGGCAGCTTTCCTAATAAATCTCCTGGAATAATCTTATCTAACAATCCCTCTAACATTTATGTTCAAAGGAATAAATATAGAAATATACCTTGTCCTGGGTTTCTTTGATCTTCTGTTTGGTAGCGGATTGGTCAGACTGGCTAACTGATTCCTCAAACAATTTATCTAGACCTTCAACTTGCAGTGCAATCTGAAAGAAAGAGAGAGAGAGAGAGAGAGAGAGAGAGAGAGAGAGAGA